TATCTACATCGGTGAGAACGTCTATATCGGTGATTGCTGCGTCGTAGGAGCCGGAGTGCGAGTTGGTAACGGTGCCATTATTCGTTCTGGGTCTGTCGTCGTTCATGACATACCACCAGACCACATCGCCTATGGCAATCCAGCCATCATTTACAAGGCCAAATAGGCGATCTATCATTGTTGGAGCAGCTCAAGATGGTATTCGGTGTATTAACCCTACTACAGTATCTGCCACTATCCATCCCAAGGCCCATAGGATAACGACTGTTCTGGAAATAGATGCCGCCCCAGCTTGCCTGGCTAAGCGCAAAAGCGGATGGGGAGCCCGGATCGTTGCTAACAGGGGAAACGCTTTCCCCTGTGTTCTGCCTTCATCATGGCCAAACGATTTTTTTTTAGTAACATCGTGTATCCTCTATAGACGTGATATTGAGAAGTAGTCTGCATTAGCTTGTCAACCTATTTAAATAATTTACCATACTCAATATCGCCGTTGCCCGTACCTCAACCACACTAACAGTCTCTGGCCCCTGGCTTCGAATACGGTCAAATTCTGGAACCATGCCACCCGTCTACAGAACCTACCCATCGCCATCAACATCGAGACCAAGAGCCCTATGAGGTCGTGGACAGACGGTAAATCATAAATTGGAATCTGGACATAGGCGTGGCTGCGGCGATGCGAGATGATAGCTCCATAGATATGAATGACTAGTATGAATGCATGCAACATGGGTACTTTCATTCAACGCTGTCACAAGGGATGGAAAGCCAGCCTGCAGCTCGCGCATGTCACCCCTACGAGGACTAAACTCCATCTGGAAGGTGACACATGGCAGTACTGTACTAATGAGGCATGAAGGTCACCGAATTACGGATATGTAGACCTACATACACTTGCAGTTTCCGCTTTCTGCGTGCTGCCTACCTTCTATCGTAGGCGGCACATCGGCCCGCCTGGTGTGCGTGTGTACGGAAACACATGCTCGACAAGCATCAGACTTTGATTGGGCCAGTATCCTAGTAGAAAATTGACTCGTAAAATTGCTAAAAGCAGCGGGCAATACCCGGATAAAGTCATGATTAGGCAACAGAAGTTTGATGTGGCATCAAAGGGAGCCTGCTTACAACAACCGGAGCCTGCAAGTGCATGAAAGTGTAGATTCCTCATTGTTGGAATGATATCGACTGACACCATTCTCTTTAGTACTCTACCTTGAGCGTTTCAGAAACGAATAAGATGGCCACTCTCCAAGATTTGAAAAGCGCCCTCCGGTCGAAGACAGGCGTAAAGACAATCTCTTCAAAGCAGACGTTATCAGATATACAGTATGCCAACGGCTTCAAAATCTTAGTGCAGGGTTCGACAGGTTATCAGGATTTCATCATCCCACAGCTGACTCAGGTCCTGGCATCACTGTTCGACTCGAGACCCCAGATCTCTGCTCTCGAAATTGGACCCGGCCCCAAGAGTGTGCTCGGTGGTCTCCCCGATTATCATAGAAGAAAGATCCAGCGATATGAAGCTTTTGAGCCCAATCAATTATTTGCAGCAAGCCTCGAAAGATGGCTTTCGGCCAATACCGCAACGGGATCACGATTCCCTTGCCTGGAAAGGCCACCAACGATTCATCGTTTGCCGTTTGATCCACAGCAAAACATGAAGAGCGACAGCGGTAGTGACGCGATTGGCGAAGACAGGGGATACGACGTGATCCTCTTTTGCCACAGCATGTACGGCATCCAATCTAAACGAAAAGTCATCGAACAGGCGCTGGGAATGCTTAGAGAGAGGAGAGGCGGAATCGTATTAGTTTTCCATCGTGACGAAAACTTACACCTTGACGGCCTCGTGTGCCACCAATCTGCTGCTTTCCCAGCTGGAGTCGTCAGGGTGGCAGATGAAGATCAAGTTCTGGACGACTTCACTCCCTTCATCGCAGGTTTCGTAATGCACGATGAAGAGGTGCAAAAGACTGTCCAAATTCAGTGGCGGAAGGTGTGTCGAGATTTGAGTCGTTGTGAAGACGCGTATCCCGGTTATCTCTCATTCCGCTCACCGGATGTTATGGTGGCCTTCAATCAGCATGCGACAAAAGTATCAGAGCTCACGGCGCAGTTGCCGGCGCTCAAGACAGATAGGCAGATCAAGAATCGGGAGGCTCATCTGCGTCGACCAGCGGCAATCTGCAGACCAACAGAAATCTATCACATTCAGCTGTGTGTCCAGTGGGCGCTCAAGCACGCGGTCGGCTTGATTATCATCGGCGGTGGACACAGCGGCCACTGTGTTTGGAACAACGTTATCTCAGTCGATATGGGTGCCTTCAATCAAGTACACATTCATGGTATAGAAGAGAAAAACTTACCTGCCAATTATGGTTCCAGCGCCTTCGTCGTTGTCGAAGCCGGCTGTACATCTGGTGACATCATCAGGAAAGCTATGGCGGCAGGCGTAACAGTACCCTTGGGATCGCGCCCAAGTGTAGGTGCAGGATTATGGCTACAGGGTGGTATTGGACATCTGGCTCGACTGCATGGTCTAGCCTGCGACGCCATCGTGGGTGCTGTTATGGTCAGCGTTGACTCTGGCCAGGTCCTCTGCGTGGGTTATGTTCCAAAGGAACATCAACCGGCTATGTCTGTTCGAGCAGATAATGAAACCGAAATCTTATGGGGGTTAAAGGGCGCTGGAACGAATTTCGGCATCATTGTCAGTGTAACTTTCAGGGCTTATACGGCCCCTGTATATATCGTTCGGAACTGGGTTGTGCCACTCAGCGGTGATCTTGAAGCGCAGCTCAAGCTCAGCAGGTTCGACAAACTTATTGCCAGGAAACTCAGCCGGAACTGTTCTGCAGATGCCTACCTGTACTGGGAAGCTAGTCAACTGAGTCTCGGCGTCACCATGATTGAGTCTACGACGGCATCAGCTGTGTCGAAATGTTCGTCCTCCACGACCGTAAGTTCTCATCTTGGAGCAAAAGAAGATGAAGTCAAGGTGGTTGACAGCGTCGGTCTCTTTGAGACAGAGATGTATGTTTCGAAGATGCACGGTGGGCATGGCAGGGGCAAGACGTCTTCGTTCAAGCGATGCCTGTTCGTGAAGGACATAGGCAGTCCCAAGGTAGCTGAGCGCTTGGTGGTAGCCATGGAAGCTCGTCCATCGCCACTGTGCTACCTTCATCTACTTCAAGGAGGAGAGGCGATCAGCGACATCGCGGCTGAAGCTACTGCCTTCGGCTGTCGAGACTGGCACTTTGCCTGTGTGATAACTGGTGTTTGGCCTCGCGATCAGGATGGCACTGAAATCGCACGGGCTGCCATAAAATGGGTTTACAATGTTGCAGAGGACTTGCTGCCATTGTCTAGTGGGGCCTACTGCGCCGACCTCGGACCCGACCCGAGAGATGTCGCACTTGCTAGCAGAGCCTTTGGCGTCAACCGACAACAGCTCGTTCAACTCAAAAATCGGTTGGATCCGCGAAATGTATTGGCTTACGCCTGTCCGCTCCCAAAACCACCACTGGGTCCGAAGCTCATCTTGCTCGTCACCGGTGAAAACTGTGTTGGCAAAGACTATTGTGCTGATGTGTGGGTCTCCATGTTCGCAGAACGTGCCCTCACAACTCGTGCTGTGAGCATTAGTGAAGCGATTAAGCGGGAATACGCGGTGGCTACTGGTGCCGACCCTGATCGACTGCTTTCCGATCGCGCCTATAAGGAGCAGCACCGCCCAGCGCTGACAGCATACTTCATGGAAAAAGTGCAGCACCAACCCCAGCTGCCAGAGGAGCAATTTATGAGAGTGGTACATGGTGCTGCCGATGTGGGCGTACTGGTGATTACCGGTATGCGAGACAAAGCACCCGTTGCTGCCTTGTCGCATCTTGTGCCGAACAGCAAGCTTCTCGAGGTTTACGTGCAAGCCAGTGAACAAACGCGACGGTCACGTAAAGGGTGTGATCACGAGGGCATTGGTCGTGCACGCGATGAGACAATTGAACCAGTCGAGCTACATCGGGAGGTGTTGAGCTACCGACCCAGTGCCGTGTTCGACAACGAAATGCACGGGAATGAAGCTGCGAGAAGCTTTTTCGAAGACAACCTGCTGCCCCTGGTTCACGAAGACTTACTGCGACTTGCTGACATGGTGCGTCCAGTACCCGACTTTCCACACGAGAACGTCGTGTTCCGCCATGTGCTTGGCATCTCTCAAGAGCCGAACGGGCTAGCTTTGTGCACGTCTCTCCTACACAGTCACTTCATTGGCGACTGGAGCAACGTCGCTGCGGTGGCATGTTGCGAGGTTGGTGGCATCGTTTTTGCTTCTGCATTGTCTTTGCGAGTCAACGCCCCCTTGATACTCATACGCGAAGCTGGTAAGCTTCCCCCACCTACTGTTTCTGCTGTAAAATCTCGGTCGCATGTTTCATCTTTGATCCGCAGCGACTCGGAACAGAAGCGGATCGAGATTGAACGAAGCGCAGTACCTGAGAACGGTCCAATCGTGGTAGTGGATGACACGCTAGCTACAGGCGAAACGCTTTGTGCAGTGCTGCAGATACTAGAAGGGGCTGGTGTTGCTGTTGAGAATATGAGCGCCATGGTTGTTGCCGAATTCCCCATTCACCGTGGACGGGAATTGTTGTGCCGACGTGGGTTCAGTGGAGTGAGCGTTCAAAGTCTTCTCACGTTTGGCGGTGTATAATCTTCAATGATTTGCTATTACTCAGTTCGTATAATTCGCATGAAAATAGCATGGAATAATCGTGATTTTGGTGTGGTCTTGGCAGAGTCACCGACTTCCTGCGTCAGACATTTACAGCTTTGGCATAGTTATCGGCTATTTGATTTGCATGGAAGGCACGTAGCGCACTTCAATGTATGGCATTCCTTTGCAAGGCAGAGCCTGCATGAGCACTCCAAAACAGCGACCACCTTCTACATGCGTTCAAAACTTTCATTCGTGCTTTTCTACTTTTCCCCAAGTAGCAAATATGCCTGTATCCAAATACGAGATCGATGCTAAAGCGGATACGGTAATCGTCTTCAAAACCCCAAGTCCTAGCTTTTCGCCTTGGAGCCCCGCTGAGGTTGAAGGAAGCATGACAACGCTTGACCAGGGACTTGCTTCTGAAGATGCTGACCAGACAATCTCTGTCAAAGTTGCTATTGTCCCAGATAATGAAAGTGAGTCAATTCCGAACGACACCAAGGGAGACGAAATTTGGTACTATGTTTTCTGGCGCCGCCTGATATCAACATCATTCACAATGAGCGTACGCTGCGAGAGCCAGGCTCTACGGGACGTGAACGAGGCCGGACGCTACTTGGCGCACGGAGTCCCAGAGAAAAGTTGCAGGATCGGGAAAAGACTTCCATAATGCGAGTAGCTCCAGAGCTCCAGCAATTGCTAGCGGCAAAATGATGAGGCGCGCCGTTCGGCATTCATCCTGGCACAAAGCATGTGGGTCGGCAGATAAGTCTCAATTGACGACTTTGTCGAACTTGCATACGGTCCTCTAGACAAAAGGTTGTTGACGTTTATTGGATCTTAATTAGCGACTTACATGATCGAGACGGCCTAGAATGTCGATCTCTTTTCGTAGATTGCTAAACTACGCATGAGCACATTTGACCATCTTGTCAGCAACTGGCTTGCCCCTTGATTTGTTGTAGCCTAAAGATACAGTGCCTGTCGTACCGTGAAGATTGGCATCGAAGATGCTATAGCCGTGGTAGTCGATAGTAGGTGTGAATGGAGTTGGTGACAGAAGCATGACAGACTTGGTGGGCCCAGTGCTGGCCCGTTGGAGGGCTTCTTGGAGTTTGCGTTGTTGTTGTGCCTGGTCAAAATCTGTGTAGACGAAAAGATAAGTCAGGCCGCCAAGCCAAATGCTGGTATCGTGCTGGAGAAATCTGATAATCTTGTCCGTCCTGCTCCCTTTTGATGTGGCATTGGAGGGTTTTGCCTATAAGACCAAAAGCAGGCCTGAAAGTTGCGCTGCATTGAAGCAGTCTGGATCGGCGAAGTAGAACGTGCCATCATTGGGCACGGCTCGAGCTTGGGTGGGGATACGGCCATCGGTCGGGGACGGTTGAGCGAGGTCGATACACGTTCTTCCCTACGCAATGATCAGGCATGGCTGTTGCAGACAACAAGCCCCAAGTTGCCTATTGCTACAATGATAGTGTTATGTGACGTATGTGGTTGGCACATGGCCTGTCATCCTGAGCCGGACCATTGCGCTGGAGGCTTCTTTGCCTTGCACAGCCACTTTGCAAGCTATAAAGCGCATGCCCTGAATCGCAGCCAACAGACAGATCATTCGGGAACGCACTCGGCAATGCGTTTGATCAGCGCCACTGGTCTCGTGTTGCTTGTCTACTATCAAGTACCGGCCATTTTTATCCTGTGGTCAAGCTTGGTTCGACATGAAGATGAAGCCGCATGGCAGCTTCGCAGGAAAGATTTTAGTTTTTACTAGCGCTAAAATGCTAGAGGCATCCATTTGCTTTGTTTTCGTGACATACGGAGTTGTTTTGTTGCTTGGTTTACTCCTTGGTCCGGAGACGCTGCATGCGGTTCTTTCGTATGTCGGAAAACCTCGCGTTCCAAAAAGGAGGCCCAGTTATCTTGTGCTACATCATTTGACCTCGGGCCTACTTGCGTAAGCTGAGGGAAAGAGTCCACGCACGATGCTTTCGCTAATCGTCTTGCCGTCTGAGGAACAGGACAAACATTCCTAGTATGAAGCATCGGCCTCGGGTCAGCATTGCAGGAATTAACAACTGGTATTCTGGCCCAAAACTCCCTAGCGGCGCTCTGTACATCAGTCCTAGGACAGGCAAGTTGGGGAAAGGAGCATTCGGTGTTTAGTTCTAGGGAATGCAAATCCAGGCTCTTCTTCGACTTGCAGTTTTCGCGGTGTACCATCTGAGCGATGTCTGAAGCATTCAACAGGATCTGACCCTTTGTTCGTCTCCACACAAACTCACCGACATCCATTGAAACCATCCCCATCGATTTCAGTCTCTTCAAAGCCCCCAGCAAGTCAGCAGAGGAACTACTAGCCGAGAGTAGTACATGGGACTGCGACGTAAAGGATGTGGGAGTTTCGGTTCCTGAAGATGCCATCCACAGTCGCCCCACAACTGGGCGGGTGTTCACCAATGTTGTCACAGGCATCTTCGCCGAGAGAAGATTCCTTATACGCGGATCTGGATGCCTGGAGGCAATGACGCGGGCAGTAATGACGGGCGATGATTGAGTTTGGATGCGAATATCTGGACTGGCGCCTTGCTGCAACAGCATAAACACGATCCGGTACGCATCATCATCGAGCTTCCTCTTGAGCAGATCTGCATCGCTGAAGTCTACCAAAAGGACGCGCACCAAAGCGTTGCTGAGATTGTGTACGTGCTTGACGTCCAGTCGTCGTTGAAGCTGCACGTCTCTGTCGTTGAGATAGTGCTTCACCAAGCGTGGCAGTTTGACTTGCGAAGCTATCTGTAACACCGTGCCTGCACTTTTTCCCAAAGGTTCGACAGACGCGCACAGCTGTTGAGAAAGTAGCAGAGCCACAGATTCGTGTCGGGCGAAAATGGCAACAAGGAGCGGAACCCTCAACCCGTCAATGAACTGGTTAGCTCCGGCTTCCAAAAGAATCTTGACTATCCCTAGATGCCCATGACGAGCGGCTGTTGCAAGAGGAGTCAAGTGCTTGTCGTTGGCAGTCCATGGAATTGTAAGTCGAGTTTCTATATCTCCGCCCACCTGTAGAATCCGTTGAGTCATCGCCGTGAGGTTTCTTTTGGCTGCATAGTTTAGCAGGCTGCTTCTATTACACCGCACATTGTGACGAGATATGTAGTCTGCGATGACTGGATAGAACCTCCGACTTGATTGCGCAAAACATATTTGATCTTTTTGCCAATCTAAGTGCTGTACCACCTCGAATAATATCTCGTTCGGCATAGTCCAAATTGCTGCGTTGTATCGATAACGTTTGAAGTAATCTTGAACAAAGTAATAAAGCCTCCTGCTAACCTTACTCAGTACCCGAAGATCCAGGATGTTGAGAAAAGACGCAATTTCAACGAGGTTTTCATTCGGTAGTATCTGAAATCCTGTAGACGATATTTCATGGTTGAGTGCATCTTCACACATCATGGCGCATGTTGTGTGTGAGAAAGTTGAATGGCTTTGGTTTGTTTTGAGTCGCGACGACATTCCAGCAGCCGAAGCACTTCAACCGGTGTAAGAGAATACTGCAGACCACACGCTCGCGCATAAGTAGCTTCCTGCACGCCTCAGAGAACGTAGATATGGTATTGTGAGCTTAGTCGCTTTGTTGCACAAAACATGTCCAGCCCAGTACGGCGTGATTAGAGCTGAAGTTACAGATACTAGTTAGTTAGACGCGCTCGCATGTATGCAGATGCGATGACGGCTATCTACTTGGCGATTTTTGTTCACGGCAAGAACCAGCCAGACGTGGGACGAGCACCCCGCGATAACAGCGTAATCATGACTGGCTAACTACCATGAGCGCGTGTAGGCATGATAGGGCCACTGCCAATTCAACGTTCTAACAAGACGAGGAAAGCATGCCTGCAGTTCGTGCGTGTCGCCCTTTCTAGGGCCAATCTCTATCTGGAAGGTGACACATGGTAGCACTTAAGCTCTGATGACAATCACATACTGCGAGCATTAGGATAGGGAACATGTCAGGCCTTTGGTCGACACTTTTTCTCAACACTCTCACTTGCATCCAACAAGGGTCTCTAGGAGGGACACCAGCCCCTCAATCCGAAATGTCGCACTATGTGATGCTAACCTAATGTGGGTATTGCGATAGCCCATGTTCGCAAATAATCGAATACAGATAAGCTCGCTGCCTGACAGATAAGGCTTAGCGTCAGCGCTGATCCGTCAGCGTATGCGCACGCTAGGAGGATGATGCACTCGCATAAGCCATCTTCGAGATTGGCTGTAACTTTCTTCTCCCATACTTCCCTGCTACATATGTATGGAAACGGCCAGTGGTATGAATGCAATGGCCGATAGCAGCGATTGCGGTGCAGAAGTGGCCGAACCCGGGTCGTATGACTGCTGCGGCCGTCCTGCGCTACAAGCGAGGCTGACCACGATAGGACTGGATCCTGACCGTAAGCATTCTGAAGGATCTGTCGGCTCAGCACATAATATGAACTGTGCCGCAGTGGCACGACTGCTTGCCAGTAAGCAACTTATGCTCTCCAACCGACGGATCATAAGCGAACTTCCCAATACACCATAGTGCAAACAAGGGTAGGCCAGTTTACTGCAGGCAGCTGCGCCGCGCATCCTACAGGAAAAGTACAGCATGGTAAAGTGGTCCTTACCGATATGTGGTACAGCTAGTTACAAGTTTCTTACAGACTCAACAAAATCTATGCTCAGTTCATATGCCAGGGGTCTAGTAAAGGCTTGAGTATTAGGGGAGGTCTCTAGTTGAACATCACGTGCACATATCTTATCAACGAACAATTTCTGTGCACAGAGATTCATCACGCATAGACCAAAAAAAACAATTCTAGGCACTTCTTGCACTTACTACTGATCATAGAAGAAGTCAACCCGCTGTAACTCGGCGGCTGGATGGACCTTGCGCGAGAGTAGCGCCTTTTCTTTTTTCCCAGAACTATTAGATGACCCTACAGGCACGCATAGTCTCTGACTGACCATCTTTCACGGCTAACAGTACGCTTTTTTATTACAAGTCGAGAGCTGCTCAGAGAACACAGTATCGGACCCTTCATGGCAGAACAGCAGCTAAGGGCGAGTTGCACTGCAACCAACTCAAGTTTCGATATTTCTACAGAATCAGGGCTCCAAGCTTGGATCTATTGGCACTATCGTGAGAAGGACTTTCGATACAATGGGACATCCAAAAGTTTGGCAGGGTTGCGAGCGCATTTGTTTGCCCTAGACACCGGGCTTTCGAGAACAAGCATCCGCCAAGCAATTCATCAGTAAGTACACCCCGCGACTGATCCTCGCTCGGTAGTATTCTGTGTCAATTCAATTCAGCTCTAAATATGGGTCGACTTGTATGTTATCTCGCGGTGAAGTTCTGAACCTTGATATCTAACGTAATGCATGCTACACACTTATACATAAATTAACGCTAAGCAGGCTTCTTTCACCAGAGCATCCGTACAGCCTGATGGAAGCAGAAAAGAAGGGTATCCCAACGAAAGACACAAGAAACAAAGATACGGATATCCTGCCTTCGCAACTGAGTGCTAACACAACCAGGACGGAACCACTAGAGCCACAATCGGTCCTAGGCATGCCGTACGTGCCGCAGCTCGGTCTTGCTCAAGGCACATCGATGGCTGAACATGATTTCTCCGTCCCAGGTAGCAAAAGTTACTACTCTTCCAGTACCGTTGTGTCTGGAGGCCTGGTGGCTGATTCAGGTGGATGCGTTCGCAAAGACAGTCTGACATCCAAATATGGCATTTTCAACGATACGGACCTTCTCATATCAGACGACGGCGAACACAATGATACTGGAGATATTCAACGCCACGAAAGGGCTACCCAAATTCGGCACGCACCATTGTTGGGCGTGGATGTCATCTTGCAGAACGATCAACACCTTCTCCCACAATATGGGCTCATAGGTTTATACGGCGAAGCGAAGGATATCAGATCTAAGCTTTTCATGAATACCAATGTTCCGTTTTCCATGTTCCTTTGCGGAGTTCAAGGAAGCGGCAAGTCCCACACAACATCCTGCATCCTTGAAAATTCTCTGATACCCTCTAAACATCTCGGAAGGCTCCAAAACCCACTATCTGCGCTAGTGTTCAGCTATGGTCACTTTAACGGTGACGGCATTGGGTTCAGCATCAGCGAAGCCGCATTCTTGGGTTCTAGCGGAGCCAGAATATCCGGCGCGGCTCATGTCAAGAAGGTGCATGTCTTGGTCTCACCGTCGAACTATGTGCGAATATCGAAGCTATACCTACAGCTTCCTAACGTTTCGGTCACGCCATTTAAGATAAAACATCGGAACCTTAACATCACTACAATCCTTACGTTGATGAACGTCAATGAGTCGGAAGAAACACCACTCTACATGGCACAAGTCACGCAAATACTTCGGGAGATGTCAACAACAGGAGGACCATTCGACTACAAGGCGTTTAAGCTGCATCCCAAGAAGCAGAAGTTCAACCCTGCACAAACCAACATGCTCCAGATGCGTCTCAGCTTACTCGAGTCATTTTTGGACATGACAGATACTTCACCCGAAATGGCGTTCCTGCCTGGTGAAATAACAATCATGGATATGTCTTGTCCCTTTGTTGATGCCAACACAGCGTGTGTTCTCTTTGAGATTGGGCTTCAGCAATACCTGCAGTCCAAAGGTACCGGTAAGATGATCGTCCTAGACGAAGCACACAAGGTATGAATCATAAAGCCTCTCCATTCCCGGTTCTGTCATTGATCCTGACTAGTACATGCTTAAAATACCGGGAGCGAAGTCGCTGAACGGGGCACTTCTCCAAACCATCCGCCTACAGCGGCACCACGGCGCTAGGATTATCGTCTCAACACAAGAACCTACCCTTTTGACTGACCTGATCGCTCTTTGCTCCGTTACAGTAATCCATCGCTTCTCGAGTCCAGCGTGGTTCTCGGCTATCAGACGCCATGTCCCCATCACAGATGAGAACCGCGATGATCTCATGCGAAAAATCGAGAGCCTTAAGACGGGACAGGCAATCGTGTACTCACCCAACGCAGTCCTTGGCTTTGATGACTGTAGCAGGTTAGTCATGGGTACAAGTGGTATGATCTATGTTCGAGTCAGGAGGAGACTTACAAGCGATGGAGGGCAGTCTGTACTGGCCGTCTAGGAAGGTGGCTTGCAGGACAGTTTGAAAACTTGTGTGTTGTCTCTCTACTTAGCAGGGAATATGTTTTGTTCTCTCGGTCGAGTTCTGGACCAATCGGAAGATGTTTAAACAGAAGGAGAACAAAATCCGTGGTATCTCCTTTGGAATTCCTGAAGACTTCTAGCTTCGATCGATCTTAAATTTCATTAATGCTGTGGTGTAGTAGCACGTGACTAGAATGCGAGGATATACTGGGATTTGTTTTCAGCGTAGATAGATACCTTCTTCACTCGATTCACTACTGGCGATTACTACTCGACTACCCGATTGCGGGTTGCCCCTTGGTCTTCTTGCGCTTGATCCCTATCGAGCTACGATACTTAGTGGCAAGTCAAACAGGCTCCCTAGAAGGTATCTTAGCGTTTCAGACATCCTATTGCAGTTCTCCTGTATCCCCAACTACGCGTGGCTGACATTTACCAGGTTTGATGACAATAAATGTATTGTCATCAAATATCTCATTTATCACTATCGAGATTTTTCACAACTCTGAAGGCTATGGACATCTGCACTAACTGGAGGGCATCACAAACAAATAGAATCTTGAATAGTTATGGTAGAACAGAATGTAGCCTTATATATAGTGCAGTGTCTTACTTCTGCCTTGCCCAGCGCTTACGGGCATCGAATATCTGAACCTATTATCGGCCTCAAAGACCAAAATTAAAAGTTTCCTATTGCCATAATGATGGCAGTGCTCATGCGTGCAGCTATCAGTTGTATTACCGTGCGACAGCTATATCCTTAGGATATGTAGGTCCTTTTCATCTTTGTTGGTAAATTCAACGACGGTATTCTTCCAGTAACACATGCCTATTTCATGCACCGAAGTCTAGGCTCGGATCTAAGTATTCTGTACTGTGCCACTTTGTCGCGGTCTCCTAAAATCCCCGCTATATGAGGCTTGCCCACTATGTTCTTAGATGCCAACCTGCCATGCCATTTGCTCTTTGTCTAAGTCCCGGTCGCACAACACATCTTCAAGAGTGTAGGTTCTCTGACTCTATGTCCGGCGGGCTTTCTCAGCGGTGGAAGACGGCATTTCTTCCTTCTACATATTCGTATGCATAACTAAGGTACAGCGAGCGTACTTTAACTTCTTTCGTAGAACTTACAATTTGTCAGTATCACCGTCAGCCTTGCAAGCATCAGCTGTTGCTGTAGCGTTGTGATTTCTCCCCGCTTTTCTCTCAGCCAGATCTGTAGCTGTAACCT